GGGGGGTGGGGGGGAGGGAATTTGGGGTGGGGGGTGAGTTTGGGGACCCCCCAAAATGTCTCTGCTCCCCCATCCCGGCTCAGTGGAGCCGGCGCGGCCGTGCCAGGGATCGGTGAAGGTCTCGGTGCGGGTCGGATTCGCCGGCAGGACCGTGAGTGCGGGACAGGGAATTTGGGGTTCCGGGAAGGGAATTTGGGGTGTCGGGAAGGGAATTTGGGGTTCTGGACAGGGAATTTGGGGTGTCGGGAAGGGAATTTGGAGTTCCAGGGGGGGAATTTGGGGTTCCGGGAAGGGAATTTGGGGTGTCGGGAAGGGAAGTTGGGGTTCAGGGAAGGGAATTTGGGGTTCAGGGAAGGGAATTTGGGGTGTCGGGAAGGGAATTTGGGGTGTCGGGAAGGGAATTTGGGGTTCAGGGAAGGGAATTTGGGGTGTTGGAAAGGGAATTTGGGGTTCAGGGAAGGGAATTTGGGGTTCCGGGAAGGGAATTTGGGGTTCAGTGAAGGGAATTTGGGGTGTCGGGAAGGGAATTTGGGCTTCCGGGAAGGGAATTTGGGCTTCCGGGGGGGGAATTTGGGGTTCAGGGGAGGGAATTTGGGGTTCAGTGAAGGGGATTTGGGGTGTCGGGAAAGGAATTTGGGGTTCAGGGGAGGGAATTTGGGGTTCAGTGAAGGGGATTTGGGGTGTCGGGAAAGGAATTTGGGGTTCAGGGGAGGGAATTTGGGGTTCAGTGAAGGGGATTTGGGGTGTCGGGAAAGGAATTTGGGGTTCAGGGAAGGGAATTTGGGGTCTCAGGAAGGGAATTTGGGCTTCCGGGAAGGGAATTTGGGCTTCCGGGGGGGGAATTTGGGGTTCAGGGAAGGGAATTTGGGGTGTTGGGAAGGGAATTTTGGGGTTCCAGGCCGGGAATTTGGGGTTCCAGGCCGGGAATTTGGGGTTCCGGGCCGGGAATTTGGGGTGCCTTGAGGGAATGTGGGGTTTCGGACAGGGAATTTGGGGTACCCCGGGGCTCTGAGGCTCCTTTTGGGGTCTCACCGCTGTCCCCACCGCAGCTCTGCACCCGCGGGGTGCCCCTCGATGCCAACCCCGAGTGGAACGAGGTTTTGTCGTTCCCCCTGCGGGTGAGGAGCGCCCCCAGCCCCAAAAGGGGCACCCCAAAAAAAGGGGGGGGACCCTCCCCCGTTCCCGCAGCCACGCTGGGCTCTGTTCTCTGCCCGCAGCTGCCCCCGGTCTGTGACGAGATCCTGCTGGAAATCCTGCGAGGGTGAGGGGGGAGCCCCGGTTTGGGGGTACCCGGGGGGTTTGGGGGTACCCGGGGGGTTTGGGGGTGCCCGGGGGGTCTGGGAACAGCCCGAGGTTGGGGAACAGCCCCGGTTTGCGGGTACCGGGGGGGTTTGGGGGTACCCGAGGGGTCTGGGAACAGCCCAAGGTTTGGGAACAGCCCCGGTTTGGGAACAGCCCCGGTTTGGGGGTACCCGGGGGGTTTGGGGGTACCCGGGGGGTCTGGGGGTACCCGGGGGGTTTGGGGGTACCCGTGTGGTCAGGGAATAGCCCCTGTTTGGGGGTACCCGGGGGGTTTGGGGGTACCCGTGGGGTTTGGGGGTACCCGGGGGGTTTGGGAAGAGCCCCGGTTTGGGGGTACCCGGGGGGCTTGGGGGTACCCGTGGATTCGGTGACACCCCCGGGTTTTGGTGACGCCCCCGGCTTTGGTGACACCCCCACATTTTGGTGACACCCCCGGGTTTTGGGGACACCCCCGGGTTTTGGGGGACACTCCCGGGTTTTGGGGACACTCCCGGGTTTTGGGGAAACCCCCACGTTTTGGGGTACCTCCGGATTTTGGGGACACCCCCGGGTTTTGGGGACACCCCCGGGTTTTGGGGACACCCCCGGGTTTTGGGGTACCCCTGCCCTGTCCCCCCTCCAGCTCGTGCCGGAACAAAACCCTGGCCAGGGCCACGCTGAGGCTGCCCCAAATCTGCCGGGAGCCCGAGGAGCTCGAGGGTGAGCGGGACCCTCCCTTTTTGGGGTCCCCACCCCGAACCCCAAACCCCGAACCCCAGCCCAAAACCCCACCTCAAACCCCAAACCCCAAAACCCCAAACCCCAAATCCCCTTTTCTCTGCCCCCAGAGGGGACCCCCCATTTCCTCCCGTCCTTCGGGCCCAGCTTTGTCCCCCTGTACGGCCCCCGGCCCGACGCTGCCCGGG